ATTAATCGTCAAACCAAAATAAAATTGTCCCACCGCGGGCATTTCAATAAAGGAATGAAAAATCGCTTAACGTTCGTTACTGAGCTGATTGACAAAATGACAAATTTTTGTCATTCTAGCGCTGAACTAAATGTTCTCGATTGATATTTTCATTAATCACTTTGGTTGTTGTTGTTTTTTCCTCTTTTTTAATTTTCAGTTTCAAAATAATAATAATAAAATATTTCAAAATTTTAATTAAATCTATCGCAACTTTAATTTGTTTGATCATTATCAATAATTCATACTGCATACATATCATCTTGATACGTCGTTTCTCTATGAAATTTTGTGTTAATGAGTTAGGGAGATCCTCAGGAAGATCGATACACACTAGAACCAAATATCTAGCTTCGATTTTGTTGAGCTTTAGAAGATCCTGTTAAGAAGCCTTTAAGCTTTATAACCACAACAGAGATTTTGCAAATCTTCTAAGTTTTAGTTTAGTATTGAAAAATTATACAGCCGTAGCAGCCAAATTTGCATTAGCTAATTGTGCTAACGATTTAGCTGATACAACAAGTTATTTTTGCAGTTAATAGATATTTGATACATTTGATGAAAAGTATTATAATCCTTAGCTGCCACAGCAGATGAATAATTTAAAAATTTAAAAATAGTAGAACAATATTTATCAAATTTTCGCTCTTTATAAATAGATTGTAACGCGGCATTCTGTCGCGTAAAAATAACTTAAAAATGATAAATTTAAATAAATTTTGTAAATAAACGACACCAGGGTGGGAATCCAGCCATAGTGGCTGTAAAATGTTATAAATTATAAAAATTGTTGTTTTATGATACTCACTTCATTTTGTTTAAATATTAAATTCAGGTATTAACAAACCAACTTGACAAAGTCGTCAGATTAATAGTCGACTAGTAATAAATAAATTCGATTCTGATTTGTCCTTTCGTTCTGTTATGAAAACTCTCGCGAAACATTAAGGATTTTCGTCGGGTCACAAAGACGTTTAGGAAATCACTACCTATCATTGAAATTAAAAGTCATCAAGGGAAGAGCTTCCTGATGTATATATTTGGCTGAGAGTCCCGTATATTCAAGAACACCAGGAATACGAAATTGCTGTTTTTAACGATCTGTCAAATCAATACTGGCAGTCAATTTCCCATGGACTTCTCGCATAAATTAATTTAACATCGGATAGTGTAGGGATCTGCGTTACCGTCGACTGCGTATTGATTATCGGTCGCAGGTATTGTATTATTGAATATTAATTGATTACGTGACACGGAGAAGAGAGGTCGCTGTTTAGCGACGCATTGGAGTTTGACTCGTCAGCCATTTTACTTTCATTCTCATCCTGGTGTTCGAAGAGTCAAGTTGTGTTCTATTATTTTTCGTGTAAAATAATTAAATTTTAAAATTATAAAAAATAGACGAGGCGGCATCGTCGTTGTCAAATGGACGGTGAGTCCCAATAAATTAATTAGAAGTTGTTTCATTCAGAATCGATCTCATTATTATTAAAGTATAATTGAATAAATAAAATATAAATCTTGTCTTTTGACCTTCTGCAATTATTTAACTTTTTCTAAAATTTGAAGTGAGTATTAATAAATAGTGTTATTATTATAAAATTTAACTAATTAATGGTGTTTATTCATATCTCCCCCTGCGCGGTCTCTTGTTGCTGTAAAGTAACAATGAAATTCCTGAGCTGGTTTTAGTTTTTCCTAATTAGAATTATAAAATTTACTCGTCAGGTTATTTAACACTAGAACTACCGACTTGAAATTTTGTACCATGGTTATTAATATTGTTAAAAACAATTATTATTACAAAATTGAAAAATAATTATTTTGTGCAGTTAATAGAAAGCATAAACAATTATAATATATGTGGAATTATGCTTATTTTGTATACGGACGGTTAGTGTACGAAACTGCTGGTGAAACGCGCTTATCAAAAAAATCTTTTTTGGCAAAATCTCAGTTAAAGTTTTGGGTTTTTCATATACATAATTTATTGCTAAAGGTTTATTTATTATTTTAAGGCCTACCGTAAGTTTGCAACTTTTCGGGATAATTTTCTATAGTGCTCTAAAGTTAGCATAAAAAACGCTGATTTTTATCATTCAAATCTATTTTTTAGTGAAAAATTAAAATGCTGGAGTATTTCCGACTTCGGATTCGTAATCTACGTGAAAAAACCTATAAAAATCATGTATGATTTTATTTTTCTAATTTGTAAATGTTAATTAAAAAAAAGCATAAATGAATAATGGGGCAAAATGTACCAGTGGTAGTTCTAGGTATGCAGGATCTTCGGTAGTTCTAGTGTTAACTAATTTTTTAGGTTTAATTAATTTCCATAAAATAACTTGGCGTCTTGGCAAAATTAATAATTAAAAAGTGTAGATAACATTGATTGTCTTGAAAATATAATAATATAAATATAAAAAATAAAGTCAATAGTAAATTAAATTTAACGTTATAAGATATAGTGTAAAAAACACGTTTAATTAAATACAAATTATAAGACAGAAAAAAATTTCTTTTGTATACATTGCAAAGAATAAAATTTTCTTTGAATGATAAAAAGTCTAAGCTTTTGATAATAAAGTTCTGATTACATAATTTATTGACTATAGTTTATTCCCATAAAATTTTCTATCGACGATTAAGGATCACACTCTACTTTGTATGTATAAAGAAGAAAATCAATTCTATAAAACCAAGAGAAAGAGGGAGAGAGAGATTTTAAAAGGACATACTATAGTGGATCGAGAAAACTGGTCCGAACATGTTTTATGCAGTTCCAAATTGCTACCCGGTAAGCGTGAATTAGCTTTATAAAAGTTCTCGAGGTAATAAGACTTTGAAGCTTTCCTGCAAATGTTAAATTGTAGAACTATTCAGGAAAAAGGGAAAAAGTAAAAAAAAGAACGAAAAAAAGGAAGTGGAATAGAAAACGGGCGAACAAACGTCAAGGAGTTCTCGACTCGATCGGGAGGCACTAGGAAAGGGAGAAGGAGAGAGAGAGGAGTTCTGAGGAAAGCCTCACACTTCTTTATGGAAATTAAGGGGATGTGATTTCGACTCTAAAGAAGGAGCCAACCTACCTTCCAACCTGTCCCGGACTTTCCTTGTCGTTTCCTTTGCCATCTTTGAGGTTAAATTTTTCTACAGATGCAGAACCATGCTCTTTAAAAAATTGCTCTTTCATGGCGGTTCGCACCAGTAAAATTTTTTTTTCCTTTTTAAAGGAAAAGGTTGTTAATTTGAAACTTCCGTTTCTTTTTTTCTTCTTGCAATCTGTTTCTGCAACTTTATGATTTTATTTCGAGAAAATTTCTATTTTTATATAAAATAAATTATCTGTTTAATTAATAAAGAATTTTAGTTATTTATTTTTTTATAATAATTCTTTTTATTTTTATTTTTTTATAGTAATAATTATTAGACTTATTTTGAAAAATATACTAGTTTTTCAACCTTTTTTTACACTTCTTTTTGAATTTTCCCCCAACACTGAAAACTTAAAAATTTGTAGTGGGGACGAAACCTTATAAATGCTAATTTGCGTAAAAGCCATCAGTTCAATTAAAAATTCAAAAAGTTTAACAACAATTTTAAAACTACTTCTAGAAATTTTCAAAAGTTCTTCAAGTTCAATTTATTACTTCAAGAGTTCATTTCAAAGTTCAAAGTCTTAATTCAAATTTACAAAATTCAAATATTCAATTCTTATGAAAAGTATTCAAGGGAAAAATACCAAATAATAAAATTGTGAGAAATCTAATCAAATTAAATAGAATATCCAATTGAAATTATTCCCGTGTTATTGAATGAGAATCCAGACTGAAAAATACAATAATTTTTATTAAATTTTATTGTTTTTTAATTGTTTTTATTTTATTAAATAAATTAAACAAAATTGCAAAAGAATCTCCAATGAGTCTTTCATTTTAGCATAAATTGTAAAATAATTTGTCGGATTTCGACCGTAAAAGAAAATAAAGGGATGTTTGAAAAATAATTAAATAAATTATCATATAACGGAAAAAAAAAATTATTAAATAAATAAAATTTACTGAGTGGGATTTCAATGAAAATTAATGAGGCGACAGGTTTTTTTTAAATGAATTTCAACTCTCAAGATTTACAATATAACGTGTTATTTATTTATTGTTATTATTATTTGTTAACCATGATTTTTTAGATAGTGTAGGGATCTGCGTTACCGTCGACTGCGTATTGATTATCGGTCGCGGGTATTGTATTATTGAATATTAATTGATTACGTGACACGAAGAAGAGAGGTCGCTGTTTAGCGACGCATTCGAGTTTTACTCGTCAGCCATTTTACTTTCATTCTCATCCTGGTGTTCGAAGAGTCAAGTTGTGTTCTATTATTTTTCGTGTAAAATAATTAAATTTTAAAATTATAAAAAATAGACGAGGCGTCATCGTCGTTGTGAAATGGACGGTGAGTCCCAATAAATTAATTAGAAGTCGTTCCCTTCAGAATCGATCTCCTTATTATTAAAGTATAATTGAATAAATAAAATATAAATCTTGTCTTTCGACCTTCTGCAATTATTTAACTTTTTCTAAAATTTGAAGTGAGTATTAATAAATAGTGTTATTATTATAAAATTTAACTAATTAATGGTGTTTATCCTTATCTCCTCCTTTTCGCAGTCTATTGTTGCTGTAAAGTAACAATGGAATTCCTGAGCTGGTTTTAGTTTTTCCTAATTAGAATTATAAAATTTACTTGTCAGGTATTTACGTGTCAGCATAAATTGTAAAATAATTTCGGTCGGATTTCGACAGTAAAAGAAAATAAAGGGATGTTTGAAAAATAATTAAATAAATTATCATATAACGGAAAAAAATAAAATTATTAAAATAAATAAAATTTAATGAGTGGGATTTCAATGAAAATTAATGAGGCGACAGGTTTTTTTTGAAATGAATTTCAACTCTCGAGATTTACAATATAACGTGTTATTTATTTATTGTTATTATTATTTGTTAACCATGATTTTTTAGCAATTTCTTCAAATTCTTTTCATATAATACAATTGATTTAGCTTTTGTTCTCTATACACTCTAGATTGACGCCTAAAGGTACATTATATACAAAAGCGATGGGAAAGATTTTTCTTTCCCTTTTTTTTGTTGCTATTCTACGATTTCAGTAATATTCTCGCTTGGTTTATGCCTTTGTGAGATTCCCTTCACCTCGCTTGTTTGTTTTTCAAGAATAAACATTCCCCAGAGACAGCAATGGAATAATATTTATATACCTATATAAATATATATGTATAGAAAAAGTACAACTTGGAGAAATGAAATTCGATTTTTATTTAAACATTTTTTTTATTATTATTATTTTCATTGTGATTTTTCAGACTATTTTTCTGTCACCTGAGGCTTCTTGTGAAATTCCTCGAGAGCTGCGGCTTCTCTTATTATCTCATTGCTTTTTCAAAAAACGGCTTTTTTTAGTGTGACATAACATTGGGAATAAATACAAAATAATTGACAATCTCTTTTCTTTTTTTTTTACTTTTTTCTAAACGGAAATTAAATTCCTTTTATTTCGATTATAAACAGATAAAAGATGGCCTATTAGTTATATATTAATAATTGACTTTGAAGCAAAAATTTTTTTTATTAACTAAATTGGATTTTATATATATAGGGTCCGTATTGTCAAATTTTACGTTTCGTTTTGCTGATAAGAAGCGAGCGACTTTTCCTGGTCCATTTTCGAATTTCGTTTTCATCGTAGAAATAAATTCACTTTGCACGAGTCTAACATTTTTAATTATATTTATAACTAACGCAGCTTACTTTCCATTCTTCTCTTTTTTTACACATTTTTTACAATATAACTGTCTATAAACCGTGACCTAGTATATAATATGTATATTTTCAATTTTCATCAAAGAGTAATTTCCATAACAAAAGTTGTCTTTTTTTTGCAATTTTATCCAATTTACTTCATTCTGGAAATATACTACAATGTAGAAAATTGTCTAGCTTACGTATTTGTTTTTTTACACTATCTTCAATCAACTCGTTGGAGTGTTTTTATTTATTTAATTTTTTTATTAATAGCACAATACGCATATCATACACGCACAACCGAACTGTTTTCTGTTCATTTAAATATATATTTTACACCATTATTTTTCACAATAATGAATACAGTATTTTTGAGGATATAGTGTGCGAGTGTCACCAGTGACACTCAATCGAACTCGAAATCTCCATAGAAAAATAAATTATCTGAAGTTTCACGGCAGTTAGACACGTTGTCATCTTCGTCAGGACGAAAAAGCCAAGCGTCATCATTCAGCCAGTCTCAGTAAATATTTCGTGAATATGACTCGCCAGCGTCTCGCCATGTGTTTGCTGTAAATAGAGAATTTTTCATAATTAATAGTAATTATATTAGATATTATATAATTGGTCTTGTAATGACCATGGTCGTTAAATATTGAGGAGAATTATTCTGCGAGGGACATGGCGCAGATTCATAGATCTGTAAGAAGGTGGGGTGACCAATTAGCTATGGGATCTAATCATGAGTTGACAAGAAAGAGGGGGGAATCCTCGAGTAAATGACAAGACATAACACTTCCTAATTTTGTCTTGAACCATCAACACTTTTATATCGTATATACAAAATTTTAATTTACAAATTTCTACCCGCAGTGGGTCTTTATTGAATATTATCAGGCCGGGGCCATTTTTTCTCATACGCTTTAATCGTGGATCCACGTGTTTCAACTGTGTTCTATTGTGCAGTTTGTGATTAATAATTTTACGGAATAATTTAGTCATCAAAGATTATTCCCTGTTGCACCTGGGACCAAAGATTTTATAATTTGGTGCTCAATCGCCGACCAGCTACGTGGATTTTTCGAGGGACACCTCATATTACATAACCGCATTTTATTGAAGGAAGTTATCAAATCAACTTGTTAAAGGATTTTAAAGGAATCGATTTGCATCATCTCCGCATATGATCATTATTATTACAAGTATTTCACAATATTGTATAATGAGTGTCAGTTGGATGTATGCAATACAGTGTTCCGAATGAATGATTTTGTTCAGGGTAATAGATATTAGCGTGATATCGGAAGATATTATTCGTCTCGATTACCATTGATATTGCCAGAAAGCAATCCCTGATTTCTGTCAATGCTTGAAGAGAGGACGAACATCAACCTGTATCGAGGACTATAGGTAGGCGATAGTATAGGACACTGGTGACTTGTCGAGATCATTCTTGTAATTTTATTTTTATATGTATTAGGAAGCAGGTGAACTGATTATAATTAAAGATCTAAATTTAATTTGAAATTATTCGTGTTTTTATTTGTGCAGTCTACAAATCTATTACGAAATCTCAGGTATCAGAGCAACGCACAGAAATGAACCTCGCTGTTCACCTATCTTAAAGATCAACGTAATAAAACTCGAGTAGAGAACCCGTACTACGGTCATAAATCCAGGCTTAAATCATACATTGAGTTCCACGACCTCATCAATTAAATAAAAGCCTAATATTTACTTATACTAAGGATTATTTGATTAAATTCATCTTTCACATATTAACAATTATTGAAAATACAATAATTAATTAATTGAGGATTAGATTAGGGGAATATTATAAGTTAATAGAGTAGGCAAACTTTTTATATTTTAATAAACGATCATCAAAATAAGGACATAACAGACTTATCAGAAATCAGTTAGTTCGCAACAATCCTTCTTTATTACATACAAATATCAGAATTTAAAATATTGTATTTCGAAAATCCGGATTTACGGTAATTTTTCAAATTCAAAATATTTAAAAAATTCAATGATGATCTCCGTATCTAAAGCACGCATTCGATCTGTCTCCTGCATCACTTATTTCGTTCTTTATGTCCGTAATTGAGACATCGATGACACCTCACGACGGTGACTACAACTGTGAATTTTATCCCACGTCTATTGGATACCAAAGATATCACCTTCTTACTTCCTACGTTTTTATACCAGCACATTCTGGACTTATGCTTCCTGGGTAAGACAATCCAAGTCACGGCTTTATCCTTTGATCTAGCAAATACACCTTATCCATCTCTTCGACCGCCTTGTTAAACTCAGCAGTAAAGACCTCCTTATTGAAGTATCCTATTTTTATGAAGAAGTCTCCTCACTTCATAGCAGACTTAACCTAATTCTCCTAGGCCCTACTAGGCTTCCAGATTGACGCTTTTCGACAGTAACGGTCACTAGCATAAGCAGAGAGTTAAACACTCCTTCGTCTTCGTCCACTCTCAGTAAAAAATAAAAGATACAAGAACCGCGGATTCCGGTTACAAGCTCAATAGCTGGTAAACGAATCCGTGAGAATCTCGGATACAAGCACTTTTCGGTATCCGAAATGCTTATAAGCTTGTAAACTCACTAAAACGAACGACCCGTTAGGTACTCCTCTTTTACAGTCTCTCATCATTTCCGTTATATTGTCATGTATCGTGGGATCTTTGAGCATTACTATATCATCAAGATGTACACTCTGTTCTAGCAGACAGAATCGCCAGACGTTCTAGCATTGTCCGAAGATATTAATGAGGAGTTTGTGATATCATATTTCAAGTGAGCTAAGAACCTCGAAAGATGATGATGATTCTTGCTCCCTGATCCAGACACCTTTATATTTCTATTGCCTTTTTGGACATTCGTCACTAGAAACACAACCCGGACTTGATTCCGAACTTAATCGGATTAATTTTAGAAGACTTAAACTTTAAATTCAACTAATTCCGGATTCATCAGCAATATTTTATTGAACTAATTCCGTATTCTTTAATAACACAACCCAAACTAATTTTCGACTTAACCAGTCTAATTTTGTAATTTTATAGAAGGAAAAGTTTCTTTTAAATTAATTTACATCAAATTGTATAAATTTTGTCCTTACGGTTTGACGACATTTTGAAAAGTCGTAACTAATGTTATTAGTTCGCGCCTAAAATCAACCCTGCTTTACCGACCCATGTCTAATGAAATGATAAATATGAAATTCATGGGAAAAAATTTTCTCACAGTCAGAAGTTTAGAATTGGGAAAATGATAATTTGCTAATTAAGTATTAAAGGCAATTTTTGAACTGGATCAAATATATGACAATAAAAATTTAAAAAACATGTCATTTTTTTAACTATCCCGAGAGGTATTAATTTATAATTATCAAATTAAAATTTCCAAATTACCTTTGTATTTCATATCCTTTGCCATTGTTGGACATTTAGCTTCTGGACGTTGCTAAAATCAGATCAAAGTTTTAAATTAAATGATTTTTGAATTAATTTTTTTTCCATTTTTAAAAAATTGTTTTGAATTTCAATTACATGTCTTTTGTAATATTTTAAATCAAACAATTACATTGTAATAACACTACTGACAAGAACGTTTAACATAATTTCACATAATGAAATCATTCTCAAGTAATTTTTAACAAGTGTCAAAGAAAAAAAAATCAAATTTAAATTTTGAAAATGTTTCATATTTCGAAATTTTCTGCCATCCGAAACTATATTTATACAAATTTTTAACTAGTTTTGAACAAATTTCCGACAATTCAAACAAGTTTTCGATGGTTTGAAACAAGATTTACATTGTTTCAGTCAAGTTTTGGTGATATTGGAAAAGTTTTAACCCATTTTGATACTTGTCAAAACAAGTTTTAAAACATATTCACAACAATATTTGAATTTTTAAAATATTATCTGTCAAAATAGTTTTGAAACGTTTCACAGTTTCTTTAAGTTTTAATTAATGTTTCTCAAAAAACAAAATTAATATTGCCTAAATTTTCAATAATATTGCAAAATAATAATTAGAAGACAGTATTTAGGAGTATAATTTATTTTCCTTTAAAAAGATCAAGGATGTTTTAGAACAAGTTGCGGATAGTTTCAAAACTTTTGCGCGACAAGTTTCAAACATGTTTTACATAGTTTCGAATAATTCTCAGATACTTTTGATGAACCATTTTCCATGTGAATTTATACCATCAATGTTGGTTTTATTCCATTTGTTAAATATATTTTAATAAACGAATGGTAATATATGTTCCAAAAATAACAGAAACTAATTTCAGTTGCTAATTTATTGATATAAAAAAAAATATATTTGAAATTCTACAAATATAGTAGATCATTAAGATAACTTTTCCTTATTAAAGTGATGCGCGTAATATTTTATACGATTTCATACATTAAAAGTTAATAAATAATATATTACGATTTTGAGAGAGAAAATGGTTAAGAACTTTATAAAAGCACTGCATTAAAATTAATAATCTCCTTGAAATTCTGTTCAGTTACTAAATGTTACGAATTGGAGATACAATCTAACTCTTCTGTTCAAGTGCTTAAACTGTTTTTGACGTGCATCAAAAAGCAAAAGCCATATATATATCCAATGTTATTTCCAATAAAATTCCAAAAGTTTAACTAAAGTCATTCAACATTTATATATATTAAATGTCCCTGGCGTTTGCTTTTAACTTTATTGTACATGCTCCAGTTATATCTAATATTATATAAATCAGGATATCTTTTGTTGGACTTTTTATGGGAGAATGTATTTGCTAAAAGTTGTTTCTAACATGGAAAACCAGTTTGTTGAACTGTAACGTCAATTTACCTTGTGAAAATCAATATTTGTTCTGATAGTTCTGTGGTGTAGTCCTTGCAGTGGTCTCGAGTTGTTCCCGAGAGGTGCCTTTGGGGAGTTGTCTGGTCCTTGCATCAGTTTTCTCAAAGCGTACAACTTGCAAGAGAAATCCCAAAAATACAATTGTAGTCAATGGATTTCACATGAATTGGATATATACTTTTGAAAATTGTCACAATTGAATTTGAAGAATTCAAATAAACTCAAACTTGTGCTACAATAAGTAATTTTCTAACAAAGAAAATTGCCAAACAGATTTTCTTAAATCTTTAGAGATAATACGTTTTCGATAGAATTCAGGATGAGAGATTGGAATTACAATTAAAATCGTACAGATTTCGGAAAGAGCTTCTTTTGAAGGATATATTAATTTCTTTTTGGAATTCCTCTAGAATTCAAGTGGAATTAATTTCAATGACCCAAAGGATGGGGAAATAATTATTATTGAAATCTTCAAAGATTCATTAAGAAATAAGACAATTGGAATAATTTTCCAAAAGAGTTTTTTCTTAAATATTTCAATAATAATTTCCATCAGATTATATATCCGCTAGGATTCAGGAATAAAATGGTTTGATGCATTTTGGGAAGAGCTTCCTGAAGATTTCAATAATTATGTCTTTTGGGATTAAGCTAGAATTCTAGAGGAATTAGAATTTCAATGGAAATAAAAATCTCAAAGGATTCTTGAAAATCATCCTACAAAGTTTCTTGCAAAATTTCAATAATTTCCATCGGATTATTATCGTTAGAAATTCAAATTTCAAAGGAAATTTATCAGATATCCAACGGAATTCCAAGGGAAATTATTATTGGTAACTATGGGGAGTTCTTTCGGATTTTGTAAATGAAAAAATATTGTGACCTTTTCAAAAGTATTTAAGAAAATCTTCCATACCTCCTGAGCAGTGATGTAGATAGGTTTATTCAGCACAAGCCAGACTGCAGTTTCCCAACATCCAGGATGTGTTGTACTTCCCTCATAGGTCATGTATCCGTTGGTATCGGGAAGTAAAGATCTCAGCGACAAGTGTCGAACTTGAGCCTTGTCACCTATTATAACAAACAATTAATTCTTAATAAGAAATCCATTTTTTTTTCTAAACACGTACTTAATTTTGCTGACACGAATTGAAGGGTACGAGAGCATTATCATTGTAATTAAATTTGATTGAAGGTCTTCTCCTATTGATATGACCCTTCTACTATTTCCTCCCTTGTTTTCTTTATTTTTTTTTTGTGTATGTGTAGAGGTCGATAAGCCAATGTGGGGATCGAATTTCAAGAAAGGATATAGTTGGGGGGGTGTGTACTTTAATCAATTGCCTGTTGACACTCGAGCGGCTACTGCACATAAATCATGATACAATGGAGTATGGGGTTACATGAAGAAGTGGAGCGCCTGTATTTCCACATTCTACCTTCGAGCGCTATATACCTCAAGCATCCTGAATATTATGTAGTCTCTATTATATTCCTCACGTTTCTTGAACATGTCTGTTATTTAGGGGATCTTCTTAAGATATTTTCTAAATTAATATATAAAAACCTTTAAAAATAACTGATTCCATTTTGTATTGGTAAAAAAAATTAGTTTTTAATAACATGATTTTCTATTTGGATAAACATTAGAATGGAAACATATTTTTGTAATTTAGGTCTTGGTGGGAAAAATTCTTTAGATGATTTCTTGCAAATAATAATTTCAATATTAGGACATTTTTGTAGTCGAATTCAGTAATTTCTGTCATAATTACGTTTTCATTTTCGGACGGGAATACAAAAGATTTTTCTTTAGATTTTTTCCCAATGATGAAAGAACCTCCGGAAGATATCGTCGTAATTGAATTTCCGTTAACGGCGGGAGATGGAAATTATTTTGGGAATTTTGCGAAATACTTTCCTTTCAGGTGGAATTCCATTGGATTTCCGCCTCAATTGGAAAGACTTCTAGAATAATTTTGTTTGAATTCCGTATTCGGCGGAACTGCCGTTGAAATTAAATAGTATTTCAACTAAAACGGAAAAAGCGAAAATTATTCCCTTCTAGGGAATCCTCCCAAGTATGATTTTGTCTGACTTGGCCTAGTGGAAATAATTATTCCTAACACCCTATATTTAAATTATTATATTTATTATTTAAATCAATAGTAGTAGAAAACCTTTCTTAATTATATTAGTAATTAATTTTATATATTTAAATATAACAACAAAATTATCGGAATTTCCTATGAGTTATTTATTTTTTGTCAATTATGCAAGTAATATTTTTTAAATTAATTAAATTTGTATTATTTTGAGAATTATTTTAAGTAAATTATCTATATATCGATTAATTAATACAAAATGTGATTATAAATCACTTAAACTGTAATTAATTTAAATATAATAATGTCCAATTAAAGGAAACAAAAGACGTTTTTAAATAATGGTACATTCAAGTAAGTATATTCTTGTTTTAATTATCATAATTAAGGTTCACATTATTTAACAAGATAATAATATCTTTTATTAATTTTACAAAGAAGATTCTGATAAAATAAGTAAACTGATCAAATCTTCTTAAGTTGAAAATTAAAAATCTTAAGCTAAATTAACTTTTTTAATTGTATAAAAAGATTGAAAAATTTAAATTGGGTTATTATGAATATACATTTTTAAATAAAATTAGCGAATTAAAAATAGTTAAAGAGCTTTTAAAAAAAATCTTTAAGTAACTCTCTACGAGGAAGTAAAATTGTTTTAAGCTAACCAATCACATTTGGATTTTGCGAAGGAAACGAAAAGGATGATGATGATGATGATGATGAGAATTGGTGTGCGCAGCGTTGAAGCGAAAAACTGTAGTCGCAAATGTGTCTTGTGCAATGGGCAACTCGTTATATATATACCTTTAAAAAAAAGTCGTTTCTCTCTTGGCAACGACTTTTTTTTATGGTTTATTTTTCAGACTACAGTCCGCGTTTTTCATACAACTGTTTCGCTGCATGCCTACGAGAAGCTGTTTATTTTTCCACGACTTGTTTTATTTATCCGACTGACAACCACGTATATTTCAACAAAGTGTAAACTTGACGCGCGTTACCTAGAGCGTGATAGGGGCATTCACGAACGCGAAGCTTAGATATCTCACAATTTTCTTTTATTCCTTAATTGCAAGGTCGGACTCTTCATTTTAATAAGAACTCTTTCAGGGAATACTTTAAATCTTTGTATTATATATATATTTTTTTTTGGATGTAGGTGACCCAGTAGTGGCAAATGAAAACGGAAATTTTAATTAATGAATATATATAAAAATTTGACGTTCGGTAAGATAAACACCTAACTATACAAATTTCAGTGATTTACAAAAATTCAGATGCCAACATCATTAAGGGGAAATTTTTTTTTTGCTAAACAAGATCTTTTCAAATAAAAGTTGTAGAGAATATTGGAATAATTATTTAAAAACGTAACATTCCTTTGAGAAGCTCAAATGCTGTGCTAGAAATAGACTGTAATTTGTAAATTGTTTACATTTATTTTTAGTTCGGTTATAAAAAATCAAATTCCGATTTTAGGGATTTACTAAATTCTATGTTTTAAATCTTTATTGATTTTCAGAACTTGCAGACTGAATAAAATCCGTCTTGTCTTTACAAAATCGATATTTAGATTCTACTTTGACACTACTTAAACCAGTTGATCCTGCTTTGAATCTTTTAAGCACGTCTATCCTTCTTCCAGTAGATACATGTCGGTCACACCTTCTGCATATAATAGAATTCCCTGATTTAAATGGAACAATAAGTTCAACTATTACATCGATCAATCAAGTTCTACTGAAATTTAAACTGCAAATTATGTGATAATTTAGTTGATACGGGATATTTATTAATTATTTATATTGATATCTACTGAAATTTATTTGATATTTATAATTATTGACAAGGAAGAATAATTTCCGTTACAAAAAAAAAAATTCAATTTAGTTATAAATTTTATTTAAGTTGAATGTGTAAATAGTATACGATATATTGTCGAGAAGAAATTTCAGAAGAAAGTTAGTCTCTCGAGGGAAATTCAGAAATCTATAATGTAATTTAATTAGACTTGAGGCATTATGGAATTTGGATCGATTTCTAATAAGGAATTTAAAGAAGAGATAAGAAAATTTATTTTGTTTATAACGAGAGGGAAACAATTAAAATATTTGATGTACACCTACTTTATATTTCAAAATAATTCATGAAACTTCAGGATAATTCATACACTTCAAGTTAATTTAAGTTGATTCAAATTAATTCGAGATAATTCATATTAATTCGAGATAATTCAAAGTAATTCTAGATAACTCAAAGTAATTGAAAGTAATTCAAGGTAATTCATGATATTTCATATACTTTAAGTTAATTCAAGATAATTCACAGTAATTCGAAATAATTCAAAGTAATTCAAAATAATTCAGGGTTATTCTTGATAATTCACGAAACTTCAGATAATTCATATAGTTCAAGTTAATTTAAGTTAATTCGAGATAATTCAAAGTAATTGAAAGTAATTCAGGGTTATTCTTAATAATTCAGGATAATTTATGTATATATAATACTATTATAATATATAGTAATAATTAATACTTAAGTTAATTCAAGATAATTAATAGTAATTTCAGATAATTCAAAGTAATTCGAGATAATTTAAAGTAATTCATGATAATTCACAATATTTCAGATAATTCAAGATAATTTACGAATTTTTGCCGACGCGCAGTTTGGATATAGACATTAGTATTTCACAACAAAATTTATCAATTAACATTTATTGAATGTGAATTGTAAAAATCATCTATTTCGAGCAATATTCAATTTAGAGACTTGAAAAGATTTCCCAAAAGGTTCCCATGGAGATTTTGTCGAATGTTTCCATTTTCACTAGAACTTCGTTTCCTTTAGAATTCCATCGTAATACCCACCGGAATTTCATTGATATAATTCAATAGAAATTATGTTCAGAATGAAGCATTTTCGAAAATGAAGTTCCACCGTTTCTAGTAGTAAAGTTTTTGACTTTTCAAGTCTCCCAAAGCTCACTGGAGATTTCGTGAAAATATTGGTATTTAAATTTCCGTCGGAATTACCATATTGCTACTACGGGAATCCCGTTTCCTTTTCAATTTTTCACGGAAATCCACTAGAATTCCACCACATAATTCGACGGAAATTATGATAAGAATTTTCAGGAATTTTTCTCCCATGGAGATTTTCTTCTAATTAAAATTATCTTTTTTTTAAAAAAAAAAAATTATCCATTTATTTTATAGGAAACTTCCCTAGAGAACTTTATTATTAAACTCACGTGAGGTTATTACAAACATATGAAAAAAGTTTCTTCGAATTAATTGAATGTAGAAAAAAAACCTGTCTAGGCGGCTAAAATGATTTAAAAAATTCTAATCAATCCTAAAAAACACAAATCATTTAGGGGGTCGTTCGTATATATATATATATTACATCAGCAAATTTGGAACGTTTTTTGTTTGACGTTCCTCATCATTTCATGATGATTGATGAAATGTGGGTTCTATTAATGAATTTTTATTGGTAACCATCCTATCCAAGACTAAAAATAAATTTTAAATCAACAAAAATAAAATTTACTACACGGTAGGTTACAGACACTCGCGTAACATTTAAATGTCATTGACGTGAGGGAAATATTTTTAAAGAAGACATTTACAACTTTTGATAAATAATTCCGTGTAGAAATTTTGAATCCAAAATCTGCAGTTCCATTTAAAATCATAATCAGAACCGGGGCCGAATTTCTATACGTATTGCTAGGTAGAAAATTGAAATTGAAATAAAGTATTGATTGTTATTATTATTATTATTAACTAATGGGGAAGAAGAGAATAGTGAAGCATTTGGTATTAACAGAAATGATAATTTAACGGAAGCACTTAAGTGAATCGCTAAGCTTGATTGAAAAAAAGAAGATGATGACAGTGCTAAAGATTGAGCTCTTAAGTGGGATAAATCGACTGTTCGATCGGCAGTCAGTCGTGCGCGTGATTCGTTCCGCTGACTTTTTCTCCCCAAGTATATATATATAAAAAGCATGGCCCGTGTCGCGACTCCAACGAGTAATAAATCGTTTTTCTCACTCACCTCGGTATTGCACCTTGTTGAACACGCTGGTTATTATCCGTAGTTCCGGGTTCGGCGTGTCGCCAACCTGAAACAGAAAATATCGATATCTCCGTCAATCATTCATCTCTATTTCACTCTCTCACTCTCTCTCTCTCTCTTGTCGTCGTCGTCGTCATCGTCAACTCTAATTCGTTTCACATCGATTTCCCATGAACAGTGAAAGGGAGAGGGTGAGTTGGTTTGTTGTTCAGGGCCACTAAGTGCACCGCATAAAGAGCGGAAAAGGTAAAGAGTCATTTCCAACTTATATACACTCAGTCGTTATTAAAGCCATCTATAAAAGATATATATATATATCCTCAGTCTGACCCCAACACACGAAAGATGGCAATAAACGCGCGGCGAAATAATAAAAGAATAACGGCCCAAGGAAACAAAGTCCAATCTTTTTATATGTGTCCTTAAGTGCGAGAGAATGTTGTATATAAACGACAACGATGAGGAATTTACTAGAGAGGCTCTATATATATATAAAGGGGGAAAAAACATTTCCTAGTTTTTGTGCGTTAATCTCGTTAAACTAGCATTCCTTTTTTTAACACACACACCCTTCAATTCACATTAGTTAGAAGGGGTGCGCTCACACACTATACTCAAGTATATAGTCTAAAGAATGAGAAACTTTTTTTTTTCATTTCTGTGTGAAATTCCAGCTGCTCGATCGATCGAGGCAAAGATCGAACATCTTCCGAGTCGTTTGCATTCATGAGATGCAAGTCACGGCATTTAAGTGCCGATTTAGTTTGAAATACTTCTTCAACCTAAAGAGCGCAAAAAAGCAAGTTTCTGCCCCTCCGCCTACCCTCTTTGCGCTAGCTCGCAGAGAAAATAGTACCTGGCAATTAAATTCGAACTAAATTACGTCCATGATTAAATAGTTGAATTGGAACGCGACGCTTTTCTTCTTAAAGACAATGTTCACATTGTTATTATATAGTTTTTTTTTTGTTTATCATTTTTCAAAGTAAAATATTAAAAACTTAAATAATTTTTGTAATTTTATTTTCTTCAATGAATTCAAAATTAGATTGTGGGCTGGCACATGGACGTGAATTCCAATTACTGAAGAATAACAGGAAAACTGGAACGACTCTTGTCATAGTGTCACAAGCAGTAAATTCTTTAAATCTGTATAATAAACCGAAAAATTGAATTAGTCAAAATATATTTAATTGAAAATATAGAGAAATTATTTTATTTTTCTACCTTCTCAAAGGAGGTTCTTCCTTCAATCTGTCCATAAATCCTCCATTAATTTTTTTTTTAATCGATTTTATCGAAATCTTTTTAAAATTTTTTCTCCTTATAATTTTCTTCCTCGTATCCCTAACTATTCCCATCCCTTAAATCTTCATTGTATTCATTCGATCCCTTTGTCATCATCTCAACTAACTCAAGTATTCACACTCCCTTCACTGTATAACACTGTTCTTCTTTCCCCTTTTACTCCCTTTCAAAGTATATATCTCCCCTAATTTTGCTCACCTCAGCCGCATTCCTTGCCTGTGTAGTACTTGAGTCACCGCTTTCCCCTTTACTCGACATTTCAGTAATCTCTTCTACCCACCATATTTGACATTCACTCTTCATGTCATTCAATCGCACTTTTTTCTCTGATTTCCTTTCCTAACGTCCTAATTGTCACTCCACTTTATTTTTTTTTTTTTTTACCGTTTTTACTCTTTCCATTCATACCACTTTCTCTTCACTCTCCATCCACTTCATTTATTGCCTTCAATTTAGCAAAGAAACACTTTTGTATGTGCACAACTTTTATTAATAATAATAATAATATTATTATTTTTCTTCTTATTGATTTCAAACGAAAACACTTTGCGTCATAAATCAAAAATTTTATTTTTCTTTTATAAAAATTATTCTTTCTTGTTAAAAACGGTAGTATAATTTTAAACCTTAACCCTACCTCTTTTAGAAAAAATCAATTGAATACGATTCAGAACGATTGAGTACAAAAATTTTTTAATTGTTTTCAATTGGAGTATATATTTTTTAAAACCCTTTGTGGCATAGTGACACTCCTGAGTGTCATCTTTTTTCTTGCACTTTTTTGAATACTTCAGCCACTATTTTACACATTTCAGTAACAAAATGTATTTAAAATGTATTTTAGAATATCTATTACAATATAACTACATTAAAAAAAGTGTTTTTTATAAATAAAATAAATGTTATAAACAAATTAAGTTTAAAAATAGCATTTTTTTTACAATAAATGTAATTGTCACTAAACAACAATAGGAAATAACCTAAAAATAATGTCTATAAAGTTTTCGGGGTCGCTGATTACGAATCTGGCATCAGATTTTCAAAATTCAAAATGGCGGATCCAATATGGCGGATGACAAAATGAAAAATTGATCGGATTTCTTTGAAACTTGTAACTCGTGGGTTTTTGGGGGCGCTGATTACGAATATGACGTTATATTTTCAAAATTCAAAATGGCGGATCCAATATGGCGGATGAGAAAATAAAAAATTTATAGGAATGGCTTGAAACTTGTTAATCGGGGAGTTTTTGGATCGCTCGTTACGAATATAATGTTGGATTATCAAAATTCAAAATGGCGGATGACAAAATGAAAAATTGATCGGATTTCCTTGAAACTTGTAACTCGTGGGTTTCTTGGGGCGCTAAGTACGAATATGACGTTATATTTTCAAAATTCAAAATGGCGGATCCACTATCGCGGATGACAAAATTAAAAATTTATAGGAATGGCTTGAAACTTGTTACTCGGGGGGTTTTTGGGTCGCTCGTTACGAATATGATGTTGAATTATCAAAATTCAAAATGGCGGATTCAATATGGCGGATGACAAAATGAAGAATTGATCGGATTTGCTTAAAACTTGTTATTCGGGGGTTTTTGAGGTCGCTGATTACGAATATGACGTTGGACTTTTAAAATTCAAAATGGCGGATGACAAAATGAAAAATTGATCGGATTTGCTTGAAATTTGTTACTACGGTGTTTTTGATGTCGGTGATTATGAATATGACTTTGGATTTTTATAAGTCAAAATGGTGCTTTTGTGTGTGTGTGATCAATTTTAACAAAATTGTCCGCTATATTGGATCCGCCATTTTGAATTTTGAAAAACTGACATCGGATTCGTAATCAGCGACCCCGAAAACCCCTGAGTAACCAGTTTCGAGCAAATTTGAACAATTTGTAAAAAATTGTCCGCTATATTGGATCCGCCATTTTTAATTTTGAAAAACTGACATCGGATTCGGAATCAGCGACCCCGAAAACCCCTGAGTAACCAGTTTCGAGCGGATATGATAAATTTAAAAAAAATTGTCCGCCATATTGGATCCGCCATTTTGGATTTTGGAAATTTTTTAAATCTAGCTTCGGATTCGTAATCAGCGACCCTTAAAACCCCCCTATAATGCACTTCAAAGATAAATTCCTCTTAAAGAAAAATGTATTGTGTAAAATAAGTTATATACTTTTTCAATTGTTTTTAATCGGGTGCTATCGGGAGAACGATATACGCACATGCGCAAATAGTTATTAATTATTTTCAAAAATTATAATCAAATTCTTTAAAAAGTTCAATTGTTTTCATATTTTTCAATGAAATTTTACAAAATTTCAATTATTTAAAATTAATAAGTCAAAACTTTTAATTCTAACTCTTCCAAAATTGAATTTCTTCTATTAAATTCTGTAATTATTTTATTTATAAAAAATTTTAACTAAAACTTTTTGCAAATTTTATCATAAATTTAAATATGAAGTCAATTTTTTAAAATACAAAATGGCGGACAACATTTGTTAAAATTCCTCGGATTCACTTGAAACTCATTACTTGGAGGTATTTGTGGTCGCTGATTACAGAATACAGTTATATAATTGATTTTACAGTTCAACAGAAAAATTTTTAATATTACCAAACAAATTACGAAATCGCTTCATAGAAATTCCACAAAAAGTTTCCGCAGGAGATTCCATCAGAAGAGCTTCTATATATATATATTGATATATCTATTTAAAAAGATTAAAATTCAGTTTTAAAATAAAACAGATTGTTTCAAAATGATTTTAGAGGAATTTTTTATTTACCTCTTATATACAAATTTAGATTTGAATAAAAATTTATTTGCCCAAATTTCTGAATTCCAAATATTTGTCAAAATTAATTTTTAATTATAAATTCGAAATTTCCCTCAAAGAATATGTTGAAAAAATAAGAAATTTTTTGTAGAAAATTGTATACAAATTTTTTTGGACTTATTAAAAAAAATTTTGACTGTGTAATATCAATATATTTAGTATAAAATAAAAAATTTTTCGTACTAGTTAAATATTGTTTAGCGGAAGTTGAAAATTATTTTCTGCCATTTGAAAATTGTTTCTTATATATAACTTTGAAACTGACTTACGTGTACAAGTAGAGCAAGTTTGAAACTAATTTCCAAGTTTTCAGTTTTAGTATATATACGAATAAAGTCAAAATTTAAACAATATCATTTTATATGATTTCTAAATTAATTTTAACCCACATAGTCTAAGCATAATATACTAATCGTTATTTAACATTACGGCCTACTGAATCAAAAAAGTAAATAAAAATTCAAATTACAAAATATGTGGAAAAAGTATTACTAGATAAAAAAAAAGTTGTTGTTTTAATGATTTTATCAATTCTTGGTATAGACTAAAGGGTCATATATGTGGAAATATACCTAATGGTATGGTTAATAATAGATGTGGTTTGCAATACTAATGTATTGGTTTTGTTGCAAAGTAATTATTAATGTGTACCATAATTAAATTGTAATTTTATTTCATATATATTTTGAAATATTGATTGATAATTTTGAAGGTAACCACTTGAATATATATATATCTATTAAATTAGGAAATAGAACTTAGTGATTGTCTTTTGGCATCAAAAGGGATGCGAGGAAAGGAGGTATTCGCTCATTTAGATTTCCCGGACTCAAGGCACCTTAGGGTATAATCCGTTTGAATTACAGTCATCAAACCTTTCCCAGTTACCCCTTTATCAGTTACCCGTTCATCGAGGGATAGAGAGCATCTGTTGAAGGGAATCCTTTATAGTAATAACTATTTCGTTCATCTCGAAAATACATATAAGAATATTAAATTGCGTTCTTTGAAAATGTAATAAATAATTAAAAAAATTCTTTTTAATAAATAAATAAAATTTCTTTCTGTTAATAAATAATTTTTTAAATTTAATATCTGATTTTTGATTTAGAAATATATAAAAGGCAAATTTTAAATTTCCTTCTTTTTTGTACTCTTTTTTTTTTATAAAATCGTGTGTCCTATTTTTTGTTTTTTTACAAAATAATGTACTATTTTTTATAAACATCGTTTGGAATAGATTCTTGAACGGAAACGTAAGAATGAGTGAGAGAAGAATAAAGATATTTGCTATCCTTCTCTTACTCATTCTTACGTTACCGTTTGCGATTGCGTTCCCGTTCAAGAATCTATTCTGCTGAGGCCTTAACCTAACCGCCGTAATATGGGCGCCATCTTCCGTCGACTGACGCGACATGGCGCGAAATCAGTTCAAATTCAAATTTTTTTACGTAAAATTAAAATGATTAAATATTTGTTATATAATAACGTCTCCAAAAATGTCACGTCACATAATAATTAAAGGAATTTTCCGTTTTACACGTCTCTAAAATATTAAACCTTGTAAATTTCTCATAACTATCGAAATTATAATTATTATTTTACTTTTTTGAATAAGTTTTCAATCCATTTGAATATATTGAATAAAATATCAACTATTGGATTTCCAAACAATTTTCTAAAGTTTGTTCTGTCCAAGTCTCGACGATATTTAGATAAATTGAAGTCAGTTCGAAACTTTTTCAAACAAGTTCTCTCTCTCTCTCTCTCTCTCTCTCTCTCTCTCTCTCTGCTACTAAAGTTCATGTTACTTAAATGTGTTAAAAACTCCTTCAACTTGATAAAAAGTTTATTTGTATTTTATATTTTTTTAAGGAGAGATTTTCTGGTTTTTCGTTGCCATCAGCAGTCTCTCTCTCTCTCTCTCTCTCTCTCGAAAATATCCTAAAGTTTGCCCAGCTGTTTGTCTGAAGCAAGCTGCAGTCTCAAAGTACATGAACCTTTTCTCCTAGCGATGTCTTTTCTAACTCCCTTTTCTCACGCGAGAAGCCTACGGCTTGAAAGCAACGGCGCCGAGTTCCCAACGAAACTTGGTAATTTATTCTTGGATTCTCTTAACCACCTTAACCGCACACTACTGGGAAATATTCTGTATGTTTGTTTTTGACTTTCTCCCTCAACTTTCCTCTAAATTGTAAGTTTCAAATTTTCATCGAGTGGCAATAATTAATTTTAAAAATTAAAATATTAATCAGAGCCGAAACAACCATGAAGCATGTGATTCAGGGCCCGTACCCCGAGGGGGTCCGCTATCAAAGTTAACATAAATATTTTATATATTTTTTTTTTAAAATTAAATTAACACAATAAATGTGAAATAAAAGTTATTTATGAATAAAAAATTAAAGTCAAGACAGAATAGATTTTATAGGTTTAATTTTGGTATCGTAAGGGTAATTTTTTGGAACCCTTTTCATTTCTTTAGTAACTTTCTAGTTAAAACCGAAATTTTTGGAAACTTACTAGAAAGTTACTAAACACACCCTGCTCTAGTAAAAATTTAGTAACTTTTAATTTTAACAATAAAATCACTAAATTTTTACTAGATCAGGGTGCGGTAGTTGACGAGAATTATGACAAATGGCGAGTGTGACAATGAAAACCAACCTTGACTAGAACAGGGTGCGGTAGTTGCCCGAAAATTATTTCAGCTATTGGCAGGGTTGGGATCGTATATTACTGCGGGTAACATACGTAGTTTTCTACGCGTATATACCTCTAAATCTTTGATCGAAGTAGATAAAATGTAATATACTTAATTTTTTTTACGGTTTTTGACGTATATTACCTAGAAAACGTATTATACGACAAAAACCTCCAAGTTACGTGTAACTTCACTACCCTGGCTATTGGGGAAACTGTCCATTGAAAATATTAGCATAGTTCCCAACCATGGTGTAGAACATACATGCAAACAAAGCTTGAGGTTTATATGGTGAGTTCTCACTTATAAAAATTGGTTTTGGTTACATCCCCGAAGTAGCTTTAAATCAAAATGTAAACAAACATAAATTGTGATGATATTTTTAAACAAAATCCGTCATGCGTAAAGTTAGAAAATGGGGGGGGGGGCGGATACAAAATTTGTGTGTGCTTCAGGTCCGCTACAGTCTTGATTCGGTTCTGATTTTAATATATTGATAAAACAAAATTGTCAAATAAGAATATTTTCTGTTAATGACAAATGATATTGCACTGTTGATTACTAAGGTAATTCAGCAGGCTTAAAATCAAGTCATTTAGCGTCGTCAGAACTCCAGTTGAGCTTGTTGGAGTAAACGGAGAGATCCTTAACTACCGACATAATTGGCAATTTAGCGGCTTCCCAAAATCGATTTAACCTCGCACAGTAAACGATGAAGAGGTCACCAGTCAGTACGACTCCAACCCGCTTCCGTGTTTTACACAAATAAAGTCAGGCCTCATGTTTAATTGCTGCGTAATCGAAATTTATCTCATGAGAAGATTACTTGAGTCATTTGCTTTTAAGTAATTTGAGTATGAAAAAAAATTCCCCCAATAAAAGTGAAACTTGAATAGAATTGCTTTCAAGAGTGCTTACAATTAAATGAGTTAATTTTCTTTTAAACAATATCAGAATATTTGCATGAATAATTTTTTTAATTTTGAAAACTTTTTATTAATTTCCAACAAAAGAAGCTCAAGACTTCACATGGTGGTCTTGATTATTCAAGAATTTCAGAAAACGAATCGATATCAAAATCTAGATAATATTTTGTGTTTGGTTAAGTGAATATTTATTTGAAAATGAATTATAAAATAACATCAAACTTACCTGTACCATTAGTGAAATAGCTACTAAACCCTGACTTTTGTGTTGTGCTTCACTCATATTGTGATACAATTCAGCGTTAAATCCATAGACTTGAATCTGTAAAAAAGAATAATTATAGTTAATTTTCTTCTGAAGTTGTAAAATTCTTATTAATTGCACAATTCACAATTTTTTATTTATTTTTAAAATTTTATTTATTTGGTTCTAATAAATTTTATTAAATATTTGGAGATTGTAGCGGATATTCCAAGATTGATTTAGTTTAGTTAATTTTAGATTTATTTATTAATTTTGTAAATTTATTTAAACTTCGTTTCCTGATTCCTATAATTACTGTTCAGTGAGTCATCGTGGGAAATTATAATTTTATTTCAAGGATGATTGCAACGCCTATTATCCATTGGAAAATAATAATTATCTATCGAGATTCAAGAAAATATTTTAAAATTTACCGCCTATTATAATGTATTGTCCATCGAACAATCAGAAAATCGAAACATATTTGGTTGGTTTCCATTGTCCCCACTCTCGCCATTTGTCATAATACTCGTCAACTACCGCACTCTGCTCTAGTAAAAATTTAGTGACTTTATTATTAAAATTAAAAGTTACTATAAAGTTACTAAATTTTTACTAGAGCAGGGTGCGGTAGTTGACAAGAATTATGACAAATGGAGAGAGTGGGGACAATGGAAACCAACCGAAATCTAGTGAATGTTTAGTAATTTTCTAGTAAGTTTCCAAAAATTTCGGTTGTAACTAGAAAGTTACTAAAGAAATGAAAAGGGTTCCAAAAATACCCTTACAATACGTCCCTGAATCGACACATGAAAATTATGTTTGGTAACAGAAGACCAAATATCGAATTACCTATTTGATTAGTAAGGTTAACTAACTAAATGTTATCTGTTAAAATATTTATTAGTAGTTGGTACTAACTAAAGTAAGTTCCCCTTACTAATAAAATGGTAACGGTAACTATTTATCTTTTTACTATTATAAATGGTATCCCTGACTATCGAATTAGCAGCAGTATAGTTTACTAACTAAAATGATACTCGTAACCATTTTATTAGTTGCCTCAACTATACTTTGTTATCTCAGTGCATGATATTGTCAGCCATTTTTAATTTTTATTGAAATTGATTTACTTTTTCTGAATTTCTCTTCTAATTTATTATTGATTGAATTTTGATATTTTTTTTACTTTATTTACTGATTTTTTTATTTAATCGATCTTTAAATTCCATGACAAGAGACTACAAATGTAACTTTTTTCGTTTATTTTCTCCATTTTTTTATTTTTAACCATTAATTGTGCAAATTGTACCAGTGTAAAATAAAATTTGTTTTATATTTATTAAAATTGTTAAAAAGAATTACTAAATAATTAATAAAGTATTTTATTTTAATTTTATTAAAAATTAATAAAATATTTAAATTGTATATCATTATTAAATACGCACAAATATTTATCTATCGAATTTTATTTTAGTTTATCAAATTACATAAATATGTACAATCGTTTTAGGTAATTTTGCTCAATACAATATACATACATATATATATATATATATATATAAAAGTCTGTATATAAATGTTTATCAAAACCATTTATCGAAATGGCAGCAACGCTTTGGCGTATTTAATACTAAAATGCCCACTGGGTTAATATCAAAGTAGGCAATTTTCCAGAGCGTATAATTCTAGTCGGAGCATTCTCTATTGTTATTTAAATGCACAGTCACATAAACAGAAGTACTAGAGGCAATGCAGAGCAAAACAAATATCTCATTTTCAAAATGTAATATTGTTTTTTTTAATTACTACAAAGACGTATCAAATATGTTTATTTAAAATATTGTTAACAAAATTATTTATTATGAATATATAAAATATTTTAACAAAAGAAAATTTTTATTTAAAAAAAAAAAAAACTCAATATTTTATATTATACAAAAAGAATGAATTATGAATTTATAAAAAAGAATCAAAAAAAGCAAATAATGGAAAGTACTTGTATACATTTCAATAAAAGTAAAAAGGGTTCAGGAAAATATAATTTCTCAAAATCATCCTTTTTTTGCAAGAAACTTTTTTTTTTTTTTTTTTTTTTGTTAAGTTATTTTTCTGATACTTTCGCAGATAAAATAAACTTTCTTTAAGAAGTTTCTTAGTAGGTTTTGTGGAAACTAGCGTCGTATTATACTTGAGAGTACCAGTCGTAACAACGAAATGCCACTGAAAATTTCATCCGTTAAAACGGAAAGCCTTTCTTCGTAAAATGCCACATAAACCCTAAAGCACATTATGAGGCCTCTAAAATTACCTTTTATAAATCTTGATGAGAAGCTTTAATCCAGATAAATTCAAACAATAGGAAATTAAAATCATTCTCTTGTTTAGTCGATATTCATTAATGAATTCTAAATTGAAAAACAATTAGTATCCAATGGAGATTAATACAAAAAAAAAAATTTTCTTCTTTCATCTATTTTAAAAATTGCTTTAAAACAACATTTTACTGAGAACAATATGTGGAAATTATAAAAAAAAGAAGCCTTTCGTTATCCTGTCAACAAGAAAATTTATATTCACGAAAGGATTCTGATCGGTAGAAGACGTTCTTTTTACGGTTGACCTAGTTTGCACACGAAGCCTCAGGAATTCTCCTTTGGCTTTCAAACAAATTTTTCTTCACAACCTTATTTCCTAATCAATACTCCTGGACATTGCCCTCTGTGACAAATATTATTAATATCTAAATTACTATCTCTTGGAAATATATACACCCAAAATATCTGCTTATTAATATTTCAACCCCTGATTTATTTACGAAGCAGAAGACTCTCCATTCTGAGAAAAAAAGTATTAAAACTAAAATAATTTTTTACTTAACCACAACTCGATCATTCGGTGAGTCTTTTTTTTTACAAAAATTAACAAAGATTTTGATTTCTAGTGAATTTTATGGCATAAGTGTTTGACCATTTCTAGGTTCTCTTCTCTCTCTCTCTCACTTTGTTGGTGCTGCAAGTGCTTGAAGGATATCCCTTGTACTCCTTCCACTTTGGCCTCTCTCACTAATGCGTAATCGCCCCCCTTACCTATATACTGTATACTGTTGGAAATCCACAACCATCCGAACCCTTCTAGAAACGATTTCCGTGCAGTCGAGGGTGTTTTCCACTCAAGGACTCCAACCATGCGGACGTGGTCTTTGTTATAAATTAATTAACCCACAACCAACAACATCGATCTAGTTCAAAGGATTTATATTCTTGTTTCAAAATGGTAATTCTATTTGAAAAGAATTTTTTCACATTCAATGTTTTCATTTGAAATTTTCACTAATGAAAAAAATCATTAATTTCGTTATTGCGCAATTCAAAATTTTTAATTAAAATTATTGTTGCATCATACGTTATTACATGAAGAGAAATAGGGGTACTATCTAGATATTGTATCAGGTACCATATTTGATCTCACATATACGGACAGCTATCTAGATTCTATCAGTTCCCGTGTAGAAATGTCCCTAAGCTTCCCATCGTGATAATAGATTCCGACTAGAACAGCGCTAGAAAATCTAGCCTAGAAAAGTCGTACTCGAACCTGATTAGATTCTTGTGAGAAATTCAGACTAGAAATATCTGCTGAGATCCCGTTTGAATTCTAGAAAGGCAATTCAAACTAGAAAAATCTGATTAAGCCCTTACTAAATTCTAGCCAGAAATACCTCGAATCGAACTTAGATTATTTTTCGATGTTTTCTTTATTTAAAATATGAATTTAATTATGTTCAATTATTATATATAGTTTCACTTTTTATTTAATTTAAAAATAATATTTAAATTTAAATCGAAAATATCGAAATCGATGTATCGAAGTTTTCAATATATCGATGTTCCATCGTCGAGAATGATGACATGAATGGTGCAAGTGCACATGTCATTTTGTGTGAACCTGAATTTTATTGTTCTTTTGTTAATTAATAATGGAAAATAATGAGAGGAAAAAAAAGCAATCGCGAATGCGTAGCAAACAATATCTTGAGGTGAAATCCATACGCGTTGAATTAAATAGAATGCAATATGTTCAAGAGCAAGTTATGGATATTGACAATTTAGATGACTCAAATCACTCATCTTCTTTATCAGAAGGTAAATATTAACATAATATTATCAATTTAAGAATATTTAATATTAAGCCAACAAACATGAAATATGTACTTAGAATATTAAAAGTAAAAAATATATTGATTGGTTTTCTAACCTCAAATTTTGTCTTTATGTTAATATCATTATTGCAAATTTTTAATTTTTACTATGATCATTCCAATTTCTTCAGGTAATATTATGATTTCTAACTTTTTTATTTATAATTCTGGTTAAAATTTGTGTTAGTACTGTTTGGAGGTTAGGAAGTTCAATTAAACTTCACGGCTATAAGAAATAGCATAACGGGCGTTTTTAACTCTACAATTTCAAAAACACACACGGAAGAAAGGACGTTGGATCTTTATATAAATATGTTTTTTGGATTTATTAAATATTTATTAATTTTTATTTAATAATAATCGATTAAAGGGAGCTAATAGGGTTCTAGCGAGAACCCTTTACTCCTGGTAGGGAAATCGCCTAGAGTTTCCCTTCCGGAACCCATCTGGCAAAAGGGACGCACAGCGTGGTCCCTATTAAAATCTAACTCAAATTTCTGCACGGGTATATAAGGAAATTGTTTATTTTTCATTGTAATATTCATATGTATAAAATTTGTTTTTTCTTTAAAATAATAAATAGGCTGAACTATTTAGACATTCAGCGAATACAAGAAAGGCTGAATTACAAGGTGAAATCGAAGCGGGAAACCTTCTTCTACAAGAAAAGTGAACAATATATTTTCTCAAAATATTGTCATTTTTCGACCAAAAATTGAATATCTCAAAAAGTTCTTTACCGATTTCGTTCAAACCTTTTTTGCCGGGTAAACGATGTAAAAAAAAATAATTTATGTGGTGAAAATGGGAGAATTACCAAAGAATTATGAAAATTAAGTAAATATTTGAATACACTCAAAAACTTTTGAAATTTTTA